AAAGAACACACACAAGCACTGAGGAAGACTCATGCCCAACGTGACTCATCTCGCACACGACCAGATTACCATAAACCCATCCAATCTGAGTGGCACAAAGAGCAAACTTTGTTCTTAGCTACAATGACGCCCGACAAGACCTAAATGGCACCTAGCATCGCATCAGAAAACACAAATCAGCATAATGCAAATTTTACCACTCATGCACCAAATCCAATTTACTATTCCAATTGATAAAGTACTACAAAAGTGTCATGTTGCACAATCAAAAGGCACGAATTTCATAGAATTGCATACTTTACACTGTAAAAAAATTGATTTAGAAAGGAAATTATATATTTACTATTATTTTCAAATTTGTATGAAAGGTAATTGTTACAAGGTTTTTCTCATATTTAAGTTATTTTTATGATTTATTTTATTTTTAAATTAAAAAAATACATAGATATATTTCAGGTGTCTTTTATGTTAGTAATTATAATAGGAATACTCTATTTTGATTTTCTCTTTTGTTAAAAACTTTTTTCATATTTTTCTATTTTATTTTTTATTTAAATTATATGTTTTTTCTATCCGTAGAGTTAACTGCACACTTTGATTTCTTATTTAATCTCCATCTTTTAACTCTTTTGTTTTACTTAAAAAAAAATAGAGAGCGGCATTGAAATAGAGTGATTATATACTATTTAATTGTCTAATCTTTAATCGATGTGGAATTTGAGTCTAACACTATTGGGTGTTTCCTTTTTTAATGATCTAAGATAGGTGGTTAGTTTTTAAAGATTTAGAATAACTCTGAAACCATCTTAAAGCATAATTCAATCTTATCAAACCAACTTGTAAGATGAGGGTTGTTATCTACTTATATACTATATAATTAATTAATCTTTAATCGATATGAGACTTGGGTTTTTTCCAATAATTAATAAGGAATAACTTTTTACTTAATTTCCCTTAACACGTCATTTTGAGTTCAAAATCCTTGTTTACTACGTATAATACTCCAATAATATATCTTTTTCACCTAATGATGGAGTTAGAGGTTTCCTTAAACCTGAATTATGGACCATCCCTATAGCAAGTGATTAATGAGAGAAAGAGCCATTTAAAATGCGCATGGAAAGCCATCGATTTGCTGCTTCAGAGTAGCACCCCATCCCAGCTATAATGTACTTTGATGGATGCTTACATTTGTAGTATTCTTCTTTTCCATTTTTAATTTTCTTTTTTCCACAATCAACCACTACTAGAAAGATTGTATTCTAAGTCGGTTATTTTATCATATCTACATCGGTTTTAAAACCGACTTAGATAAGGCTGTTGTAGATGAGTGAACATATCTAAGTCGGTTACGTAAAAACCGACTTAGATGTATAAGTATATCTAAGTCAGTTTTAAGAACTGACTTAGATGTATTTATACATTTAAGTCAGTTTTTACAAAACTGACTATACATCTAAGTCGATTTTTGTCAAAACTGACTTAGATGTATATATACACATCTAAGTCGGTTTATATTAAAACCGACTTAGATGTGCATATATACATCTAAGTCGGTTTTTTCTTAGAACCGTTGTAGATTTTATTTTTTTTAACCTCATTTTTAAAATAAAACTGATTCAATTATAAATAACCTGCAAAAGTTGATTCAATTATCCAATGTAAGAGAAACAACAGAGACCAATTTGGGATCGTTATCATTATAAAAATGGCTCAATTACATCATTATATAATATATATAATACTAAAGAAACAATATACTTGGAAACCAAGAGAGGCTATACTTGGAAACCCTAAACAATATATAAAGAAGAGTTTTTCTCTTACAAGGAGAAGAGAAGATAAAAAAAATTAGGTCACAAGACATGGCATTGGGCAGCCTAATACTGAAACCACATTCACCTATTTCTAAATTTTTCTAAAAAAAAATTTTCCCCAATGAATCCGAATGTCTTCCAATTTGGTTTCCCCCAATGGTGTAGAATCTTCAAAAAGCTGCAACAAGTATACATCATATATTAGTTACATCATAAAAAGCATTAAAAGAAATTAACAATAGTCTCACTAATACGTGACAACTGAAGAAATGGAGCAATGCCTTCAAGTGATCCACCAATAGTCTTTCTAACACTGAAAGTTTAAGTACGAATAATAAAAAATTCTTTTTATAAGAATTTATTTGTTTCAATGGTTTTCTCAAGTTACTTAACTTTATGAACCAACATAAATATTTGCATTAGAGTTTCTATTCGTACTTGAACTTTTAAATATTAACAAGAAAATTATATTAATTTTTATTATTGAATCACCATGTTTATACATTACTTTTATTAAAGTTTGGACTTATTATAGTTTGGCATTTAAGGTTGAAAGATGGTGGGGTAACCTGCTTCCAAAGTTTGTTCCTTTCCTATATGATAAAGGAAGCCCTATAATAATGGTTCAGGTATGTTGTTTTTGGTAGAATTTCCAATATGCCCAAGTCTTTTAAATCAAGTGATCAGCTTTGTTATACTTACCCAAGTCTTTTATAAAAAAAAAATTATAGACTTAATTTATTCATTAAAATTTTTAATTCATCTATTAAATTATTAAAATTTAATATAAATAATAAATTATTAAATAAATTAATTATATTCAAATTTATTTAAATGGATTACTTTTCAAATATCCAATCTAAAGTTTAATAAAAATTTAAACAAAAGAATCTGATAAGTATAACAACTTTAATTTGAACTTAAGTAAATAATCTTCTATATAACCGTGAATCTTGAAAAACGTTGTAGTGTGTGAAAAAGTGGGAGATAGAGTGAAAGACAATGAATAATAAAAAATAATAATAATAATAAAACAATAAACATAAAATAAATTGTAGAGTAATGATTATCGTGAAAGAAAAATAAAATCTTAATGTATAACTTATAAAAATGAAAAATAAAACTTTTAATGCAAAACAAGCATAGAATTTACACACTTTATACATGAACAATAAATATAACAATAAAATAGATTATGGATATGGTTATAGAAATATCTATCATGACATTTAACTCATAACTTTAATTAATTTTTCTTCCTTGTAAAATAACACTTTTGTTATATTGTTTAAGATATTATGGATACTCCCAAACATGTAATTCATATATTAGTTCATGAACCAATTCTTTATCATAATTTACATATATGAAACATTTGCATATTTCATAATTCCAAAGTTTAAAATAATCACTCGTTATTCATAATATGAGATTGATGTAAATTATATATAAATTATGAATTTAATGACATAAAACTTGTCTATGGACTAAAGCTTTACTCTATTAGATTTATTACATAACCTTATGAAAAAACTATCAAATTATGTTCATTTTCTTAGTTCCTATGTGTAAATTAAGAAATATAATTTGATATTTATCCTAATTGATTATAGGCATAACAATAATTCATCTGAGAAAACTTATTATATTTTGGTATAATAAATTACAATATTATGTCTAATTCTTTATGTAATTTAAGCAAAAAAAAATATAATTTCAATTAATTAAAGATACTATGATTAAGGATGGGAATAAACCAAGTCAGGCCAGACTTTGAATATATAGGCTGAGTCTGTTTTACAAAATTAAAGCCTAAGTCAAACCTATTATCTATAATAAGCTTTTTTTATTATAGACATAACATGACCTTTTTAAAAGCCTAAACTGACCTATTATCCTATTGAAATTATTAATATTAATTACACTAATAAACTTAATTGTTAAAAAATGAAGAAATTTATTTTTAAAATATAGTTTACTCAATATTATTAAATTTTAAATATTAAAAGAAATATAGAAGAAAAATTGAATCATATTTTGCTGAAGGGTCAATTCATGTGTAGTCATGTATATTGATATACACTCATGCATAAGTCATATGTTTATAAACTTATAATGAAAAAATAATAATTATATAAAAAATATTTTAAATTTTGATAATTTATTATTATTTTATAAATTTATTTTTATAGTTATACTTTTAATAATATATATACACTAGTTTTTTGTTATATTATATAAATAAATAAGCTGACTTGTCAAACCTAACAAACTTTTCTATAAACCTAAGCCTAGTATTTTTATATAAATGAACTTTGTTTAAAAGTGTAAACTTGACATTTTTATTAAATAGGTCAGATCAAGTTAAACTTGACTTTAAAAAGACCGGATCATATCTCCTATTTAAAGCTTGACCTATTTCTAGTCCTAACTATAGTTAATCAATAATTAATTAAAATTATAAGAAAGACAAATAAAAAAAATTAAAGTTCTCAAAAAATTAGAAACTACTATAATTTTATAAACTTTATATTTCTTTCAATCAAGAAGATTTGAGACACATTATTAGATAATAAAACATGCATCAACTAAATTAACATATACTCTTAGATAATTTTAATGAATTTCAATGTAACACAATTAATTACTAGCAACACAATTAACAATTTAATCCATCCTTAATAAGTTGCTTGTTACTAATAATAACAATTAAGACTGTTATAAGCTCTGTCTATTAAATAACTTTTTTTTAATTACTAATATTATTTATCATTAATATTTTTTAATTGCAGAACATAACATAATGCTACATACATAAAATAAGAGAATTTAATTATTTATTGAAATCTTTAAAATCATTATAACAATAATGTCATATTACGATCAAAACCATATTATTACATCAATAACAATAAAATGACATTTCATTTCTATCTTTTCGAGAGAGAGTAGAGATACACGAAAAGCATATATATGAAAAATATATAAATATAATTGTAAAAGTAAAATTCCAAAATCGGAATAACACGCCAAAATCTTTTCACATTCATGTACAAAGATGAGAGTATTTGAAACAACAAATTCCTAAACATGCAAATATCATATCCATTTGCTTTATTTATTTATTTACAAATTGCCACTTATACAAGCTTTTGGATTACATATTTGATTTGTAGGCAATAATATCGGCAGGAACGGATACAATTAGTACTGTTCTTATATGGGCAATATGTTTGATATTGAAAAATCCTCCTATATTAGAAAAAATTATGGCAGAACTTGACATTCAAGTTGGAAAAAAGAGATGCATATGTGAGTCTGATTTAAATAAGTTAACATACTTTCAAGCCACAGTCAAAGAAACTTTAAGATTGTATCCTCCTGCTCCTCTCTCAACACCTCGTGAAATCACAGAAGATTGCACTATAAGTGGTTTCAATGTTAAAAAGGGAACTCGTCTGATTACAAATCTTTGGAAAATCAACACGGATCTTAATGTTTGGTCAGATCCATTAGAGTTCAAACCAGAACGGTTTCTTACTACTTATAAAGATATTGATATGAAGGGTCAACATTTTGAGCTATTACCATTCGGAAGTGGTAGGAGAATTTGTCCTGGAATAACCTTTGGCCTTCAAATTGTTCATTTCAGTCTTGCGATTCTTTTGCATTCCTTTGAGATCTTAGAATCACCAACCGAACCTATTGATATGACTGAAACCCTTGGAATAACCTACAATAAAGCCACTCCACTTAAGATTCTTATTAAACCACGACTGTCTCCTAATTGATAATTAGGAGAGCTTGTGATCTTTATGTGTTAAATAATGGTATGAACTTGGTGCATGTATTTTGGTTGTTAAACTATATGTAATTTATTTTGGTTAAACCTGCAGCTTTGTGTTGTAAAATATTTCAAAACTATGTATTATGTTTCTTTCATTTTAATTCACATGAAATAAAAGGTTGGTTTTAAGTATTTTTTGTTTAACGTGGTTACGCGGTCGTAATAGTGATTTTTCTAAGGCGAAAATTATATTTTGAATTCCACCCAAATTTCTGATTCTATGATTGACTAACTTCAATTTTTGTTATTTTATTGGTATTTTGATTGGCTTTAATTAATAAAAAGTTCTTTTTAATTCTGGAAAACATAAGATTGATAATTTTAGTTCTTAAATGATAAAAAGAAATCCATTTATATTGAAAATGATCACGACAATAAATTATGTTTTTGCTGTCGGCCATAAGTTGATGCTGCAAAAGCTAATTAAAGTGACGCAAAAGCTAACATCTGCATAGACTAACGTGTAGTAGGGGGAAACATGTGTCTGGTTGGAACCTTGGTTGGGTGGAGGTTTATTACATGATCAATATAAATTCTATTTTATTTGGTGGTTCACAAGTAGGTTTGTATAATTGTATTGCGAATTGTGTTGTGTCGGTGCATGTATGCATGGTGTGTGCTGCTGATGGAGGTTGAGTGGCAGAGAAGCTTATTTCAAAGGGATGTTTGGATAAGATAATTCAGTTGCAGCATGCATCAGCAAATTGGCCAAGAAGTTGAGAATAAAGGGAATGAAATTAGTAAGATATGTTGTAGTACTCATCCACCAAAACTTATGTGGAAGTTATGCGTGGCAGAAGATGAAAGGAATTTTGGGATTTTTATAGTGGGTGTGTCTTTTGTCATATTTGAATTTATGTTATTTTCTGTGAATTCTAGATTTTTCTATTTCCTAAAACTCTTATATCTCTTCGCTCATAATATCACTGATTGATTACATCTTTTAACAAAGAGCACTCTTAGTATTGTTGATAATATGAGTCTGAAACATTCATCCGCGCGCGCGTGAGAATTGGGTATATAACAATATGTAGACATTGTGGGAACATTTTAAACGTATCAAAGCTAGTGATTAAAACTGGATGAGAAGTGTAGGAAAATTTTATTATAATTTTAAATGTCTTTAGATCAATGCAATAATTTTTGTGTTAATGTTATTTTTTTTAATCGACGTAAAATGTATTTAGATTTTAAGTTTTAAATTTTGAGAACATTTTAAGTTGGTTGAAGTTAGACCGACTTAAAATTTAGTTTTTTCTTATATAAATATTTTATCTATTTTTGTGACATATACAAGATATTTCACTACAATCTCTAATTTATTTAAACTAGATCATGATATAATGTATTATTATATCTCCTCTGGTATAAAGCAATAATTTCTCCATGGCTTGCCAGTTTCTGTGAAGGAATTGTGAGCTAATAGTACAAACAAAATTGCTTTTGATGTCCCCTAAAATCAAATTTTTTGAGCTATTCAAAGTGTGATAATACTTAGAAAAGGCCTTTTGGCCTGAATAAATAAAAAAATTAAATATTTTCATAAATAAATTGTTTAAAAAATAATTTATCAAAATAAATTATTTTATTCACATGGACATTTACAAGTAAAATATCAATAGGAGTGACGACTTTATTTTACAAGGAAAACGTTAGTTCTATTGACATTTTCAGTTGTACCAAAAAAATTACACCGAGTTATTTTTGCCACCTCAAAAGCCAAAAATCGTCGAAAGTCAGAAAACGTCACATAAAGTGACGAGTAGTGTTAACACAGAAAATGTCACATAGTACGACAAGAGGATTGCTACACCCTCCGAACGAAATCCGAAATTTTCTCCCAATCAGTAAAAAATTATTATTTTTTAATAAATTTATTATAAAATAATTATTTTATAATAAATTTATTAAAAAATAATAATTTTTTACTGATTGGGAGAAAATTTCGGATTTCGTTCGGAGGGTGTAGCAATCCTCTTGTCGTACTATGTGACATTTTCTGTGTTAACACTACTCGTCACTTTATGTGACGTTTTCTGACTTTCGACGATTTTTGGCTTTTGAGGTGGCAAAAATAACTCGGTGTAATTTTTTTGGTACAACTGAAAATGTCAATAGAACTAACGTTTTCCTTGTAAAATAAAGTCGTCACTCCTATTGATATTTTACTTGTAAATGTCCATGTGAATAAAATAATTTATTTTGATAAATTATTTTTTAAACAATTTATTTATGAAAATATTTAATTTTTTTATTTATTCAGGCCAAAAGGCCTTTTCTAAGTATTATCACACTTTGAATAGCTCAAAAAATTTGATTTTAGGGGACATCAAAAGCAATTTTGTTTGTACTATTAGCTCACAATTCCTTCACAGAAACTGGCAAGCCATGGAGAAATTATTGCTTTATACCAGAGGAGATATAATAATACATTATATCATGATCTAGTTTAAATAAATTAGAGATTGTAGTGAAATATCTTGTATATGTCACAAAAATAGATAAAATATTTATATAAGAAAAAACTAAATTTTAAGTCGGTCTAACTTCAACCAACTTAAAATGTTCTCAAAATTTAAAACTTAAAATCTAAATACATTTTACGTCGATTAAAAAAAATAACATTAACACAAAAATTATTGCATTGATCTAAAGACATTTAAAATTATAATAAAATTTTCCTACACTTCTCATCCAGTTTTAATCACTAGCTTTGATACGTTTAAAATGTTCCCACAATGTCTACATATTGTTATATACCCAATTCTCACGCGCGCGCGGATGAATGTTTCAGACTCATATTATCAACAATACTAAGAGTGCTCTTTGTTAAAAGATGTAATCAATCAGTGATATTATGAGCGAAGAGATATAAGAGTTTTAGGAAATAGAAAAATCTAGAATTCACAGAAAATAACATAAATTCAAATATGACAAAAGACACACCCACTATAAAAATCCCAAAATTCCTTTCATCTTCTGCCACGCATAACTTCCACATAAGTTTTGGTGGATGAGTACTACAACATATCTTACTAATTTCATTCCCTTTATTCTCAACTTCTTGGCCAATTTGCTGATGCATGCTGCAACTGAATTATCTTATCCAAACATCCCTTTGAAATAAGCTTCTCTGCCACTCAACCTCCATCAGCAGCACACACCATGCATACATGCACCGACACAACACAATTCGCAATACAATTATACAAACCTACTTGTGAACCACCAAATAAAATAGAATTTATATTGATCATGTAATAAACCTCCACCCAACCAAGGTTCCAACCAGACACATGTTTCCCCCTACTACACGTTAGTCTATGCAGATGTTAGCTTTTGCGTCACTTTAATTAGCTTTTGCAGCATCAACTTATGGCCGACAGCAAAAACATAATTTATTGTCGTGATCATTTTCAATATAAATGGATTTCTTTTTATCATTTAAGAACTAAAATTATCAATCTTATGTTTTCCAGAATTAAAAAGAACTTTTTATTAATTAAAGCCAATCAAAATACCAATAAAATAACAAAAATTGAAGTTAGTCAATCATAGAATCAGAAATTTGGGTGGAATTCAAAATATAATTTTCGCCTTAGAAAAATCACTATTACGACCGCGTAACCACGTTAAACAAAAAATACTTAAAACCAACCTTTTATTTCATGTGAATTAAAATGAAAGAAACATAATACATAGTTTTGAAATATTTTACAACACAAAGCTGCAGGTTTAACCAAAATAAATTACATATAGTTTAACAACCAAAATACATGCACCAAGTTCATACCATTATTTAACACATAAAGATCACAAGCTCTCCTAATTATCAATTAGGAGACAGTCGTGGTTTAATAAGAATCTTAAGTGGAGTGGCTTTATTGTAGGTTATTCCAAGGGTTTCAGTCATATCAATAGGTTCGGTTGGTGATTCTAAGATCTCAAAGGAATGCAAAAGAATCGCAAGACTGAAATGAACAATTTGAAGGCCAAAGGTTATTCCAGGACAAATTCTCCTACCACTTCCGAATGGTAATAGCTCAAAATGTTGACCCTTCATATCAATATCTTTATAAGTAGTAAGAAACCTTTCTGGTTTGAACTCTAATGGATCTGACCAAACATTAAGATCCGTGTTGATCCAATCTAAAGTTTAATAAAAATTTAAACAAAAGAATCTGATAAGTATAACAACTTTAATTTGAACTTAAGTAAATAATCTTCTATATAACCGTGAATCTTGAAAAACGTTGTAGTGTGTGAAAAAGTGGGAGATAGAGTGAAAGACAATGAATAATAAAAAATAATAATAATAATAAAACAATAAACATAAAATAAATTGTAGAGTAATGATTATCGTGAAAGAAAAATAAAATCTTAATGTATAACTTATAAAAATGAAAAATAAAACTTTTAATGCAAAACAAGCATAGAATTTACACACTTTATACATGAACAATAAATATAACAATAAAATAGATTATGGATATGGTTATAGAAATATCTATCATGACATTTAACTCATAACTTTAATTAATTTTTCTTCCTTGTAAAATAACACTTTTGTTATATTGTTTAAGATATTATGGATACTCCCAAACATGTAATTCATATATTAGTTCATGAACCAATTCTTTATCATAATTTACATATATGAAACATTTGCATATTTCATAATTCCAAAGTTTAAAATAATCACTCGTTATTCATAATATGAGATTGATGTAAATTATATATAAATTATGAATTTAATGACATAAAACTTGTCTATGGACTAAAGCTTTACTCTATTAGAAATCCTTCTTAACTTGTGGTGAGAGAAAGAGTATCACTGTGAATTGTGAAACTGTAAAAACTATGACATAAGGGTAATAAACTATGACATTAATGGTCAGGCACTATTTGTAAACACACTGGCTGTGCCACAGCACAATTTCTTTGGATTAACAAAACCTGCCAAGCATATATATAATTCAAGTCATAAGGGTAATAAACTATGACATTAATGGTCAGGCACTATTAAGTCCAACTTTTACATCGTCTAGTGATAAATCAAAAAATATATATATTTGTTATAATAACTTTTAAGATAATTATTATAAAAATCAATAAAACTATTTTGTATATAT